GTGGCTTAGATATGCTCTCTAAGTGGCATGATTCTCCCGGTTGAAATAACCATCCTTCAGTGATCTATTCACCAGTTTTCACAATAATGTAAGCAAGACCATTTTTATCAAGAGTATTCTATGGTATGCCCCAAGATGTAATTAACCTAAGGGATACGTTTCTTTGAGAGTGCTCTTTGATCCCGAAACTGATTATATGCAACAATATAACAATAACTTTAATTATAATTTTCACTTATATTTTCTTACTTTGCAATAGATTCAAAAACTTGATCCTAAAGAAAATAAAAATTTAACTCTTTAATTTATATATATATCTATATATATTGGAATACTGCGAAAGTATATGTATAGCAAGTATACATATTATTATCAAGTAATATATGACTTTTTGATTAAGCCCCGAACATCGAACCCATATAGAAATTATGCAATATGCACTATTGAACAACAAACTTTCTATTCTAAAAAGATAATTACTTAAACTATAAATAATTTAACAGTAATAAAAATTTAAATATTTTTGTTATTTTTGATATTTTGACAAAATAGTAACAACTTCTAGATAACTTGAGTTTATGTAAAAGAAAAACACAGAATATGAAAATATATTTCTCCTTTTCATGAATCAGTAATAAGTATAAGAATTCTGTTGTGGAAGTATGCAAATTGTGTTGTGTCAAAAAGGAGCAATACTATGCTTTACCCTTACTAAAGATGCTATAAAGAACATGGGTTAATTTAAAGTTTGAATGGTTCTGAAGACCGGCTAGGCAGGAAAGATACCAGCTCTCACTCTAGAGTTCTTTTGATTCCCTCCATCTGAGGGCTAAAATCTCGTATCAGAACCTAAAATAATAAATCATGTTGGGGGCTTTAGCCTGTTACTCTAAAATCCTCTAACTTTACACCCTTCAAAGATTATTTCTTTATTTATTTACACTAAATCATATGAATTACATTCTCATTCATACAACCTCATGTGATTCTTTCCAATTGTTGACTGAGATAATACCAGCCCAGTTCTTACATATTCTCATAAAAAATTTTAACATCTAGATAAACCAAATCAAGAAGTAAATGAAGTACATGGATTTAAATCATCACAAATTCTTCCAATATTAAAGATTAATACTCTCCACAACTTCCATTCAACATATTAATTACTTATAGTTTTAAGGAGAAAGATAAAGAAAACTACTAACAATCTATGGAGAAAATAAAACCACATTTTAGTTTAAAGAATAAATAATTGTCAAACCAACAAGAAGTCTCGATTAAAACCAAAAATAGATTAAAAACAAAGATAAATACTTATCACAAATCCTCCACCAAACTCTTGAAGTTCCTTTGAATAAAGTTCCTTTAAATATCCTCTCTTTTCAACACTCTAAACTCTCAAAATAAAATTAAAAACATAAAGGATAAAGTAAAATTGTGTGGTGCCTGAAAACTTCTCCAAAACTATCTCTAACTCTTCTCTTAACTCCCCCTTTCCAGGACTTTCAAGCACACCTTCAAATGTATACACTTCCTTCATTTATAAATTTCCCAATTGGAAACTCTTCAAAATGTGTCCAAATTCGATGTATTCTCCAAGGGATTGTCCAAATTCTGTCCAAATTCGATGTATTCTCCAAGGGATTCCTCCTTTCACAAGTTTTTTGATAATATTTTCATTCCTAGTAGTAATAACCACCCTCTTTAGCCAATAGATGCCTCAAATACCTCTTCAAAATTCTGTTAAATGAAGAAAGCCGTCAAATAACTGTCTCTGACACTTAAGTGCGGGGCCTTTGGCGCAGCCTTCTTTGTTTCACTGGCGCGTAAGCGCCGGATCTGACGCTTAGGCGCGGAAACACTTTTGCATAAATTTAACATTTTTGCTCCAAATTTGATCATTTTTCACTCATTTTAGCATTTTTCAACTTTTTTTAGCATTTTTTACATGTACCTGAAAGAAAAACACACAAATACCTTCCATTAAAGCGCAATATCTCAAAATAGGTATAAAAATGTGCCTAAAAACACTATATATTTATGTAGAGATTTTCTTTTTGGATAACATGTTTTGAGGTATTTAAATCCAATCTTGTTTGGATGTATACTCTATACCTATCACACGAGAATAACCTTAGATAAGCCTTCCATATTTCTTTTTAAGTATGTTTGTCAATTTTTTTTTGTATATTTTATCTTTTTCAATTCTCATCCTCTTTAAATCATTTATATGATTTAAGAAAGAGATTTATTTGAAAAGAGCATTCAAATGAAAATGACATATAAATAGACAAGTTGACGATTTGAGTTTTTAAAAAGAACAAAAAATAGTACAACTAAAATCTCTAGGAATTGATGGTAGGGGCGAATTTACCTCTCATGCCTTCACCTCATATCATAAATTATCAAGAGACTTTCAGTCCAAGAACTAACTAAGATGCCAATAAAAAAAAATAATGCTCACACTTGCTCTGAATAATCACCGGGCCATCCTAAAACATGACGTGCCAAATGTCTTTTTGTATTGAACATTAGATGATGAAATATACATGCCACAACTTCAAGGATTCCAAGATACCCAACACCAACATTTTGTGTGTCAACTAATAAAGGTAATCTATGGACTAAAAGACACCACTAACTTATGACACTCAAGCTTCTCCTCCTACCTCAAGCAACATGATTTTGGGCTCAGATAACTAGATCACTCTCTACTAATATAACACAAAGAAAATTGTTAAATATTTCAACTCATTTTTATAATGACATATTGATTATATCGTAGGATTCAAATGCAACTATTCTCATCAAGAAACTATGTAATATATTTCATATGAAAGAAATGAGGAATAAATTTACATTCTTGAGCATCAGTCTCAACACACAAAATCACGAATTCACATAAGCCAAATTCATACAATACATATCTGTCGAAGCACACTAGATTTCAAGAATGCAAATCAGTTGTTACTCCCTAACCTCCACTCTCCCACCAAAGTCTTCCTATAACAACCACTCCAAGACATCACACAATACATAAGCATCACATGCTCTCTATGGTATTTAATTATCACAAAGCCTGATATAACATATGTTGATAATCAACTATGCCAACATATGTAGGGCCCAACAATTGGTCTCTTTCAACTTATCAAAGGGATACTCATGTACCTTAAAACCACCTAGACTCATGACATTCAATTCACACAAGGATATGCCACCTTATAGTCCTAGTCAATTTCACCTCGAGCATGTGTCCTCATCACTAAAAGATCCACATCATGATAATAATTTCTCAGGCAATAAACTAATATACTAGAGAGTTCAAAAACCAACCTAAAATTGTTAGGTCCTCCACTGAAGTTGAGTACAAGACATTATCATCAACTTCTATAGAGGTTAACTTGCTTCAATGACTTGCAACTGAATTATAGATTAATATCTCAACACCTACAACAATTCATTGTGATAACACATCAACAATTGCCTTAATCAATAATCCATTCTTCCTTGCTTGCAACAAATATATAGCTGAGGTTCTAATGGTACAACACATCTTGACACAACAACTACTAGCACATATATTCATGAATGCTTTATACATTAATATGTTTCTTTTTCTCAAGGACCAACTAGCTATCCAACCAAAGGATACCAAGTTTGACGGGCCATGAAAATCTCCTCATATGATTAATATGATCCTGGAATATGTTATTCCTAACAACAGTATAACCAAATACAAATTGTTTGAAAGCCTTCCATAACTAACTGAGCTTATATAACTTTAACTATTGTACACACTTGGATATGAGATATAGGGAAGTCTGCTCTGCTTCTGTAACTTCTATATTGCTAAATTTGTCTAGGTTGCCTCTTCCACCTACAGTAGGGGGCAACTAGTGGTTCATTTGCAGCTTCTTGTTTATGGATTTTTAGATGAGATGCATAAAATATGTATATATAAACTAAACCAATATATCTGAAATTGATATTAGATTGATCCAAGAGAAACTAGCACCAAATTTGATTGGACTTTGCCACTTTGATTACAAATTTTATTAATTTATGTTTTTGAGTCCTCAAGTTTAGCATGAAATTGATCATACCAACAAAATTTCAACTTTAAAATTAACTCAAATAAAATTGGTTTTATTTCAACTAAACTCTTTTGTAATCAATCAAATTCCTTAACTTAAAATTATATATTAACCTTTTTTTACTTATATTATTCTCCTTAACAAAAATTGATATGCATATTCCAGAGCCCGAACTGTTAACTCTTCCAAACATGTCCGAGCCAAAGGGAAAAATTTTACATCTGGAGTCCGGACACAGCTCTACATTCGAACTTCTAGTAATATGCTGTCACGTGTGTTACATCATAGAGGTTATGAGGGGTTATTGAAGTGAAACCGCGGTAGTTATTTAAGAGATTATTGGGGGGTTATTAGGGGTTTATTGCAGAGATTAATGCAGGGGTTATTGAAGTGGAAACGTGAAGATTATTGGAGGGTTATTGAGGGGGTTATTGCGGGGCGTTGTTGAAGTGGAACCATCGAGGTTATTGGAGAGTTATTTGGAGGTTTTTGAGGGCTACTACGTGGGTTATTACAGAGGTTTGTTTGAGTGGATCTATGATTGTTATTGAAGGGTTATTGAGAGATTATTGCGGCATTATTAGAGTTAATACCCCAATAACCTCTAATAACCGTGGTTCTACTACAATAACCACCGCAATTCCACCAATAAACACTGTGATTTCACTCTAATATTTTCTTAGACACAGATTGAGATATACTATTGCAGAGCTAAGTGTGAGACAGAAAATATTTGTGAGGCCGTTTCATGACTCGTTTTTTCATCCGATTTCCCACGCACAAAAAACGGTTGATTCGAATTGCAGATTTCAACATCGACCATTCCTTCTCTCTGTTCCAATCCACTGTTGTCTGTATTCGGCCATGGAGCTGAAATATCGACAAAAACTTGATTGGCGCACTTCCCTTCCCGGGCCGCTTCCATGGCTTCCACGTCTGTTGTCTTGCCCTACCCACCTACCAGTCTCGCCATACTCGGCCTCAAAGGCCGAGCTCTTGTTGCCTTAAGACCATGGGTTTCACCTCCGAAGAAACCCATCTCCTGCTCTCCCTCCTCGAGCTCGACTTCACTCACTTTGCCCCTCAGCTCCAATCCGTTCGATAATGAACCCCAACGCCAAGTTTTGACAAGATCATCCAGCTCCGATGCTGCAACCACTGCTTTCAGTTTTCCGAATGTAAGTAAAATTTGACAATTAACGTGCTCTTTTCTTTTTTGATGAAATGCTTTACTGAACTTCGTTCATTGTTCTTCAGGTTGGCCAAATTCTTCACCTGGCGGTTTCTCTCGCTGTAATTATTGCGGCCGATAAGCTTTTGAAGCAGGTTTTTACGGCGGCAGCAATCAAGTTCCCGAGCGCGCTTTTCGGGATGTTCTGCGTTTTTTCGGTTTTATTAGTGCTGGATTATTTTGCTCCTTCTACTGCCATTAACGTGATGAACTTCTTTGAGCCAGCAACTCTTTTCATACAGAGGTGGCTGCCATTGTTCTATGTACCGTCACTCGTTGTTTTGCCGATTGCGGTAAGAGACGTGCCTGCGGCTTCAGGGGTCAAGATTTGCTTCATTTTAGGTATGTGGTTTCAATGGAAGTATCATGATAATTGCATTCTTCTCTGGATGATTACTCAAACACCGTTAGTTTGATTGGCCATCGTTTGGAGAAAGCTAAAGAATGCAGAGAAACCCTATCAAGGAGAGCAATTTACGATTTAAGAGCTTGGCCTATGATATTGTAGGTTTTATCTAGGGAAACAAAAACTTTTGTTTTCGTACTTCAAATTATATATGAAGATCTTGGAACGTAACAAATTTCTTCAGGATGCCCTTAGCTAAATTTAGCCAAGATATAAGACACTTAGCTGCTTTTGAAACAAGTATTTCTATTTTGAAAGTATCTTTGGTCTTTGCAGTCACTTTTTATAGTGTCTTGGTTGCCATTTTATAACTTTGAAGATGCATTTTGAAATCAAAGAAGAAAATCAAGAAATATCTTGCATCCTCAGCTAAATTAATCACAGGAGTCCCTAATCCATGTTTTGGCCTCATATAACTCAAGTGAGAATCAATAGTATTTAAACTTAGGGGCCTTTTAGGATCATTTTTTATTTTTGCTTTTATTATTATTATTATTATTATTATTTTATGCTTATACTTAAAATAGAATATTTTTGATATGTTATAACATGTTTAGTTGTTTTTAAAATCACACAAAATAATTTTTAGATGTTTAGAGTATTTTTAAAAACATGTTAATTTGTTTTTGAAAATAAATAATAAAAACATTAAACAAATGCACTAAACAAACATATTTTTAAAGTAAAAGCAACAACAAAAACAAAAAAGAAAAAACAAAGTTGATCCCAAATAAGCCCTTAGTTACTCAAGATTAAGCTAATTCCTGTTTTTTGTGCACAAGTCTTAATGTAGTTTCAACTTTGAGTTTTAGGGGTTGAAGCTTACTCCCATGACTCCTATTATAGCTCTAATCAGAATTTTGAGGGAGTTTGTTAGTATTGAATATTTGTTTAGTTCATTGCTATTTACTGAACGTCATCTAAATAACTATTTTTTCCTTAAAATTTAATGTGATTGTTTTAATGTCATTTTAATGAAAAAAATATAATGTTATTTAATTAATGATAAGTGAGATATTTCCTTTTTAATTCATCAAGATTGATTTAATTTAGATAGGATCAAATTTGGCTCCCATTTAACTTACCTCAGTTTTGGCTCTAATGCTATTCGAAGTATTTTAGTATTAGTGATTACATGAAGTTAATCTCTTTTATTAAAAACATTACATTGCATCGAAGAAAACATAGAGATAAATTACACCTAAAGCAAATTACCCAAGTTTCATTAGCTATTCCTCCATTAAACAGAAAACATATATCAATTCAAAGGAATAAACACCTAAACAATGCTTAATCCTAAATTATCTTAGACTAATTTATATAATTACAGAATTAAAGATAGTATCTATTATTAATCAGTTTCAATTTTGCTCAATCCCCGATGGAACAGGGAAATGCTATGACTGGTTTATGCTTTTAAGTTCTTGAATAGAATATAGAACTGTTGTTACTGATACTTCAAAGGAATCACCTTACGTTTTTGAAATTGAATGATAATTAAAATATTCATTCATTTATTTGGAAACATTAGAGTTCTATTTCCTTGCGAGGAAAATTCTTAACTTACTTTCTTAAGGCTGCTACTACAAATGAGATTTTTTATGTTGAATGTCTTGTATAGGTATTTCAGTTAACATTTGAACTTTATAAGTTTTCTTTACTCGGTAAAATTGGCAAGGCTTGTGCCAGTAATTTTAAAAGAAGGCAGAAGCTAAGAGGAATACTTAACATAATTAAGAAATTGAAATAAAAGCAGTTAATGGCCTGCATTTTTTTCCATTTATTGTCCTTAGTTAACCCTGTTCTGTTTCCTTTTCCAGTGGCAGGTTGGGCGGCATCTCTCAGTGTTGCTGGATATACTGCACTAACAATAAGAAAAATTGTAAAGACAGAAATGATTCCCGCGGAGCCAATGACCAAACCTTCTCCTTTTTCAACACTTGAAATTTTGGTCTGGACTGCCATCTTTGTTTCTTCCTTTTCTCTTTCAATCATTAATCCGACAGCTCTGGGAACAACTGCCAGAACTTACCTTCCTTTCCTTCTTGCTGCAACAGTATTGGGTTACATGGTTGGCTCCCGGTAACATCATTCCCCTAATTGTCAGACTGCAAAAATAAATTGGCAAATTTACATACGTAGCACACAACTCTTATGTATTTACATATCTCAAACCTAAACTTTCATATTTGCATACATAACACTTTGGTGTATGAAAAGGTGTTTTCTACTTTTAAAAAGTGATAATAATGCTATTTTTGATGTGATATTAAAGATTTGAGTGCTGTGTGTGTCAATATAAAAGTTTAGGTGTGAGATATGTAAATACATAAGAATTGCGTTCTATTTATGTAAATACCCCGAATAAATTGACCATTTATAGTTCTTGTCTATAAAATTGTATAATATTCAAATTAAATACCCCCTTCATTTTATTTGTGCTTCCAGGTTTCCATCAACAGTCAAGGCGGTCTTCCATCCAATTGTCTGCTGTGCATTTTCTGCAGATTTGGCAGCAATAGCATTTGGGTATCTTTCCCGGTCTGGATTGGATGCTGTCCTAGGTTTATAGCTGACTTTTGTGTGATTTTCTTGATAATATGTGGAGTTTCTGAATGGTTTGTTATTCCTATTCAGTCTAATTAAGTTTCTCTAGATTTTAGGATTGTAGAGTTAGATGATTGTTAAGGTTATGCATTTGCATGAACAAATGTAAATGAGATTACTGTACATGAAAAAAAAATATAACACTGAAACGAAATGTATTTAACTTTATCTACTTTATATTTACGTTGAGCTTGGGAATAAATATTGCTATCAAGAGCATAAAAAAGGGATGATAACTAAGAAATTTCATAATATATTATCCTTTGTTAAGCATAAAATATCAGAGTTATAATTGAATTGAATTCTAGAGGACTATTTCAAGTGCAACCAAATGGAACATGGGAGAATGAATGAAATAATAAAAAGTTTAACATGTTGGAAATTGCAATGCCAAGAAGTGTGCTTTGACAATCTCCTATTTATATGATCATTTGTTTGAATAACTAGTGATAAGAATGAGACAAGATTCCACAGAAAATAGGGCAAAATAATACTCTATTCTGCCGGTACCAAAACAAAACAATACAATCCTGAATGTATAAAAAGATAGACCTACAATTTGAGAGGTACGTGAGTCTTTCTCAAGCCCTAACTCCTAAGACTTCAGATAAAAATCACATACCCTAACTCTAATCATATTAAGCCCTATTAACACCTAAGAATAATAACTAGCAAATGATTAAATCGCTCTTTTAGCCTTGCGTCTAAAATAATTGTTCAAATTATTTGACGGGCTCAGAGTGGTGGAAAATGTCATAGGTGTCGATCTAACAGTACTCCCCTCTTAATAATACCATGTCTTCAAGGTATAAAGGAGGAAACTGCTGCTAAATCAAGTCGTATGGCTCCCACGTGGCGTTATGATTTGACAAAGCTTTCCACTTAATCAATACTTCTTTCTTACTTGTCGATCCTTGGGCACACTCCGTTTAACTCCAGTGATTCCAAGAGAACTTTCATGTCCTCAATCAAGGTAGGGGAAAGTGAAGAAGAAGGCACATTATCAATAATAACACGTCTTAGTAGCGATACGTGGAACACAGGATGAAGTGTTGACTAAGTGGAAAATTTTAAACAATAAGCCACCTCACCAATGCACCCCGTGATCTCATCAGGACCAAAATAGCATGGGGAGAGCATTTCATTCCTACGTATCGCCAATGTCTTTTGTTGATAGGGTTAAAGTTTTAGATACACTCTATCTCTTATAGCAAATTGCACATCTCTTTGATGCCCATCAATTTGTTTATTCATAAATTGTCGAGCCTTCAATAAATGCCCCTTTAGTTTCGCCAGCACCTTGTACCTCTCTTCTAAGTATAGATCCATCTGAGACATTGACATAGTACTATGTCCATAATATATCAAATTTGATGCATTAGGACCATGCAAGATTTAAAATAGAGCAGTCTGAGAAGTTGTTTGATACTAAGTGTTGTGCCAATATTTTGCCTGGGATAGCCATTTGCTCTGCTTGGGTGCATACACAAAGCAATGCAAATAGGTCTCCACGCTTTGATTAATAATTTTGGACTATCCATCAATTTTTGGGTGAGACGTACTTTTCTTCAATAAGGTCTCTTGCATTCTAAATAGCTCCCTTTAGAAATGACTCAAGGAGACCTTGTTTCAATCTAACATCATCGATTCTTGAGTCTCATGAAAACGAACAATCTTTTGTATAAAAATAGGGGTGACCGAAACAACAGTGTACGGGTGACGTAGAGTGATAAAGTGAGTGTAATTACTCAATTGGTCCACCACCAACAAGATGATCGTAAATCCTTCTAAAAAGGGCATACCCTCAATGAAATCCATCTTCAACTCCATCCATACCTTCTCCGGTAATGCCAGAGGTTGCAACAACCCTTTAGGCATTAGCAACATATGCGTCACACATCACGTCTTGAGATTATGTGCTCCACATTTTTTCTCATTCTTACCCAATGTAGTTCTGCTGCTATTCTCGAATATGTTTTGAGCACGTAGTGACCCTCACTAGTATTGCCGTGAAACTTCCGTGATAATTTTGGTATGTCTTGAATTTCAAGGTAATACATAGTTTCCCTGGTAAAGTAAATATTGGTCATTCAGTGAATAATTAGGATAATTGTTCTCGCCATTCACTAAAGCCGATTGGATTTTGCTCAATTTCTCATTTGCCTCACTCTCTTGCCTTAGGACCTCCTAATCTAAATCCAAAGGAACCAACAATACCAATAATTGAGGTTTCTCCATTCATCGTAATAAGGCATCAACAACCTTATTCTCTAATCTCGGGTGATATTGAAGATCAAAATCTTACCCCAATGTCTTAGATTGCAACATCTGATGTTCCTCGATCACCATATATTATTTTAACATAAATTTAAGGCTGTGTTGATCCGTGGGTACTATAAAAGGTCATCCCAACAAATAAGGTTGCCAATTTTGAATAGCAAACGCAATTTTCATAAGCTCCCCGTCACAGACTAACTTTCCCAAAGTCGCTCGTGCGGCTTTAACGCTCTTCTTTAGCACTAAATCAATCTAATCCTCATAACACTTGGACTTATGAACACCAAGCACTCTTAAGAAGAAGAGTAGAGAGAAAGGAATTCTTCACACTTGAATACTTGGAACTTTGATTGAATGCATGGATGATTACAAATGAGGGGAGAGACTCCTATTTATAGCCCCCTCCAAGCCTAATGGAACATTCTAGAATACATGAGATTATTCTAGCTTCTAGAGAGTTCTACATTTCTCTTTTATGTACATACATAACCCTAGAACATTCTAGGTTATTCTTAATTTCTCTTTGGAGACTTTCCTCTTATTCTCTATAGTTGGGTGAAATTTTCTAGAACCCCTTGGATGACTCTCTACCTTTTGGCCTTCTCGAGAATCTTCCATCCCATGATTGTCTTGCCAATTTATCTTATGTGGTAGAGCGTGGCACTCTCCCCCACTTAAACTCACAATGCCCTCATTGCGGTTTCCCCTGCACCTTTGAAACTGCCTCCTTGGTTTGCCCCCAGACTTGTCAAAGTTTGGTTTCTCCTTGGTGTTACAGGAGAGGGGTGTCATGCAGCAAGTCTTCTCGGTTGGCGGCTTATTTCTTGCCTCTAACCTTGTTGAACCATCTTTCTTCTTTCTTGGCAGAACCTCCACCACTTTCCTTGGCATCTCATCTCCTTGGATCTTTTCTCCTTCATTGGTATCGTGAAGGATAGCCAAGTTGTTCCCCTTGTTCTGGTCAATGCCCTCCTTGAGCTGGATTGCTGATAGCGTTTTGGATCCTTGCTTGCTTAACCTCATTATTAGTACTGAGCAAGGTTGACTCCCTTCCATGATGCATAGACTATTGGCGAATGACATTGGAAATTCTCTTGCTTGCTCTAAGAAATTTATCTCTAGGACAACTTTGTAATCATCCAAAGGAATGACAAAGAAGTCTAGAGTACCTAACCATGCCCCAATATTGGTCTTGACTCCCTTAGCCACTCCATCGATTGTCATCTCTGCTGAGTTGACGACTTTAATGGAGCCCCCTCCTTTAGTCATTTGCAACCCCAACCTCTTTTCTTCCTCGCTGAAGATGAAGTTGTGGGAAGCACCTGCATCCACCATTGCCCTAGTGGTCTTTCCTCCTATTGCCATCTCCACAAAGAGTCACCCCTTCCCTTAGGGTTTTGTCAGAGCTTGCATCTTATTTAGCAGTTGAAGAGATCCCACATGTGCCTCCATGTCATTTTCCCCATCACTTTCTTCTTCCTTTTTATGGCTTGCAAGGAGAGAGTTGAGGGACTTCTTCTTAGGGCAATCCCTTGCCCAATGAGGTCCTTCACAAAGAAAGCTGCGGTTTTGATATGGCTTGTTAGTCTTCCCCTTGTCCCTCGCCTTTGTTGGGGTTGATTCGCGATGTTTCTCCTCCTTATTTTTGCCCTTGTCATCCCCACCTTTGACATCACAACTCTTCTTATCTTCAAGCTTTCTAGACTCTTTTGAATAATCAACCAAGCTTTCAACAATCGTGATGGCAGTGGCAAGATCTTGCACTCCTCGCCTCCTAAGCTCGGTCTTTGCCCAATTTTGGAGCCCATCCATGAAGTTGAAGAGTGCATTCTTGTCTGACATATCTGGGATTTCAAGAACCAGACTCGTAAACACCTTAATGTAATCTTGAGTCAAACTCTCTTACTTAAGCCTTCGTAGTTGGGCTCGAGCCTCATCCTCGACATTTTCGGGGTAAAACTGCCTCTTTAGCTCTCTTGAAGTCATTGAAAGTAGACATGGAGCACAAACTTTTCTCTACATCTCCATTTCTTCTTCTCCACCAAAACATAGTGATGCCCGAGAGATAAAGAGAGGCAAATTGTATTTTTGCATCTTCATCGACAATCCCCATCGCTCCAAAGTATTGCTCTATTCCCCAAAAGAAGTTGTCTACTTCCTTTGCGTTGCGAACCCCTCTAAAACTCATAGGTTTTCGAACTTCAATTCTCTTGGCTTCAAAAGTGGGATGGCTTGTTGATGTCGCTAGTGCTCTCTTGCAAAACAAAATGTCTCCACGCATCTCCTCCAAGCTAGTACGCATGTCGCTCATCTCCTTCTCATAGGCTATTCACACCTCTTGGATCTTCTCCAACAAATCCTTCTGCAACTTAGCCATATGACCCATTAAGGTCTCCTCAAGTTGGAAAAATGGAACATCATACCTCTGATCGTTGAATGGATGGTGACGTCCTCCTCCTCGAGTCCATTAACCCTTTGGTCAAGATCCTCTACTTGACCCTCCATGTTATTCATTGCCTCTTCCATCCGAGCAAGGCGCTAATCAAAGGCATGCATGACCTCCTTGGACCTCCCATGTGGCTTGGGTGCAACGTGATCTCTTTGCTCCTGGAGACCTCGCCCTTGAGATGACTCCACATTCGTGGCTTCTGACTCCACGTGCTCTTTGACACTCTTCGTC